AAAATTTCTGATTTATTTTCCTGAAACGAGCTACTGACACAACTTGAAGCGTGTAAATTCGTAAATAAATTCCTTATCTTGTTTTGTTCAAATTACCCGCGTGTTTCATTATTCTTCATTAACCTTTTTGGTGTAGGTAAATCAAGCGTTCATTTAAACCCTGAAGCCCAACGCTACTATACATTCAGGCAAGGCCAACGAATCACCGGAAGAATCCACAAAAGTCCTTCCTGGTGTTAAATCGGTGAATAAAATCTGGGAATATCTCAATGTTACAATATGACGCATTTGGACATTCCTAATCCTGATCCCAAATCCAACATGCTACTTAATCCTAACACTCCAATTTCTGTATGGTGCGTCCATTGTAACCAGATTAACACAGACACGTAAAAGAATAAAGGACAGGATTTTTATAGGAGAAAATGTTACTTTGTCTCAGTCAGTCGATTTGTTTAACGGCATATCAACATCCTTATGGGTCATTTCATGCCGAAATTTAATTTTCTTGGGATTTTTTATTTGATTTGTTTGTTTAACGGCATATCAACATACTTATGGGTCACTTAATGCTGAAATTTAATTTTCTTGAGCGCTTTGATTTAATTTTTTAACAGCATATCAACATCCTTATGGGTCATTTAATGCCGAAATCTAATTTTCTTGAGAGCTTTGAAGTAATAAAAATATGTTATTCTGGTTTTACAATTGAATACATGGTAGATGATACTCAGATTTCTTGCATATACAAGTGTGTGAACATAATTACTCCAAGCAGTGGTATGTGTGTTTTAAGTTATATTTTGTAACAGAGTTTGATTTTAGAAATTGTAGAATATTATATGGATTAATGTCATGGAAGCTGATGTTGATTATTTGGTTGGTTTTATTTAACAGCCTATCAACACCTCTCTGGATTATTTAACACTGAAATCTAAATATTTTGAACGCAATTGTATGTCTTCGACAAAAGATACAATGTATTACTGATTATGTATTGACAATCTTTTTATATAAAAATGTATTGTTGGTATTTTTACTATTAAAATGTATTTTTATAGTTTCATGGTGCGTTTTTGTTTATGAGGAGGCTCACTATTTGCCATATTTGGGACCCTAACAGGTGCTGCCACCACGGGTCAGGGGGGACTTTGTCTTATACACGTTCTGTCTGTCTCTCTTTGTGTATCTCTCTTAATAATGAGATAACAGATAGGGATTAATTTTAAATCGTTTTCATCAACGACAATCTTTTATAAGGATTTGTTGCGGACCCGGTAGGGTGCAGTGCTGGATTATACTGAGTGGCCTTGTGCCAGACACCACACTAAACTACCGAGTCTACAAGCAAAGTAAAAAAAAAAAAAAATGCGTGAATGAACAATGAGAGGAAAGGGGTCAATCAACAAGTGCATAAATAAATGGTATTAAGATAGCCGAAATAAAAATGACAAAGACATCTGTTTATAAAACATGAATAAACAAAACTTTAATTAAACAGTAAGTAACTTAGCTCAAGGTAGGGATCAATGAAAAATGTTCCGCGCCAAAAAATAGAAATACAAGATGGCCAAAGGCGGGAAAAGTTTTATACAGTTCCGGAAAAAGAAGGTGCGCACAGATAGAAAAGGAGTACTCACTGTGGATATTTTAAGTTGAAAGTGATTATGCATATTTTAATGTACAGGTTCAAAGTTATAAAGAATGTTCGGTAAATATTGAATTGACCGCTGGTAAATGTTCTGGACTGCTGTGGGCATCTAGCCGAGGGAGAGACGAAGCATGGTCTTGTAGAATGGTTTACGGCGAGCCCAAAGAGAAAGACGAAAAATGTTTTCGTTCAAAGGTAATATTGAATTGGCCGCTGGTAAATGTTCTGGACTGCTGTGGGCATCTAGCCGAGGGAGAGACGAAGCATGGTCTTGTAGAATGGTTTGCGGCGAGCCCAAAGAGAAAGACGAAAAATGTTTTCGTTCAAAGGTAATACTATCCCTGCCTGTATTATTTGGTTCGAAGCCAGGGGTAAGTTTAAGTCACCTGTTGAACACGAAGTTTCTGCCGACGACAGTGTCGTGTGTCTCTAAAAACGTCTTCTGGTAGAAAACGGAGAAAAAGGTCCTGACCTGTGATTAGCAATTTGTTCGTTCAGTAGGACATCCCTGCCTATACTTATTGAGGCCCCTGACGAGGGATAAAATACGCCATTAGTTGAAAACGAACTTTTTGCTCACGACAGTGTCGTGTGTCTCTAAAACGTCTTCTGGTAGAAAACGGAGAAAAAGGTCCGACCTGTTGGCAGCTTCAAAAGGAGAAAAAGTCTTGGTAGAGGGTGCAGTCGACATTGTAAAAAAATAAGATATTCCGGCCCGCATATGGATTAAGGGCACGGAATAAATGAGTTGCCCATCCAGTCCGGTCGACAGCTAAGAGGCAACTGGATTGCAAACGTTAGCAGTTTTGAAACGCCGAAAAACGCGCGGGAAAAATTCAAAAAGTCTAATTTGCATAAGTAGAAGTAGCAGCTCGTCTTGACTGCTGACCAAAAAAACAGTTACTACTGTATTAGACTAAAAAGAGACAGAAAGGGGGTGTCAAACGCGCGCACACACGCACGAGTGTAAAACAAAAGGGAGGAAACTCGCGCGCGCGTAAAATTATAAATGGAATTAATGTTAATTCCATAGATTAACTGAAAAGATGGCCGCTGAAGATTTTATGCCATTCTTTTGTTGTGATAACAATTTTCAACGTGTCTCCATTTCTTCATGTTAGACCAGTTAATTTATTAGGTTTAGCTTTGTCTGACACATGGCTATGCGGAGTGATACACACAGTGAGGTTCAGATTCATTTCATAAGTGACTCCAGGGATTAGCTTCTATGGTAGATGCCCAAATGTCAGGTCGTTCTTGATTAGGAATAGCTAACACTGAAATAACTCTCATTAATTTCTTCTTGATCTTCTGTGGCCATGAGAAAAAAAACTGTGTCTCATTTACAATTTCATGCGAGCGAACATGGCAGCGTCATTTGCAACGGTATAATAGTGAGAAAAGAATGAAAAAAAATGAAAGAGAAGCGAAAATCAGTCAGTTATGTGCCATGCATGATACACGTATTTTTCGATACATGACTGACGAGGCAGATTTTTCCAGCAGTAGATTGCCATTTCTTTCCGCAGTAGACCAGTTGTGATCCAAGGCTACAGAACCCGGTCTGTCTTTACCCATAACTTAGAAGAAGAGGATTCATACCTTTCCCAAGGCTATTAGCACGTAAGTGAATGCAATGGATTCGACTAGAATTCGAACTCGGCTCTCCGATTCTTCAATCCGAGCCGCTATCCGTGCCCCTACAGCGAAAATACAGATAAAGAAAAAATATGAGAGAAAGGGGGAAAAAAATGAAGTAAAAAACGAATGAAAAGAAAAAATAATAAGAAGTCGTCTGATTCATACAATGCACACGTAGAAATAATCGTGTAATATTAACCCTGCGTTAATCACGTCAGGTTTTCCACGACAAATTGAGCTACTGCTACTCCACACCGTCACACCCTCACTGGGTCAGGACAGTATTGGGTTTAGAAAAAGAAAGAAATAACCAACTAGGAATTAAGAGTACTTTAAATGTTTGGGGGTAACAAATCACCCTTTGTGACTAACGCAAGGGTAAAGGAATAGAGATTAAAAGGAAGTGTGGATTTAAAAAAGATTAAAAGGATTTTTCTCTGGGAGGGAATGGGAGAAAAGAGAACGTCATCACTCTTATCCCGATTATAGAAACTAATTCATGGGATTTAAAACGAACAAGCATTTATTACAAGACATTTAAAACACTATCACAAAATGCAAGTTTTACAAATTTTTTTTCTTTTTCCTTCCTGTCTTTTTTAAAACACTATCACAAAATGCAAGTTTTATGAAAATAAAAGACAGGAAGGAAAAAGAAAATAAATAAAAGAAACAAAATAGAAAAAGGAAGTAAGAAAAAATGAAAAGAAGGAAAAACAAGAAAATAAGGAAAGAAAATAAAATTAAAAAAACTAAAAAAGGAAAACGGAAGAGAGAAAACTAAAATAAAAAAAGAAAAGAAAAGAAAATGAAAGAAAAAGCAAAGAAAAGAAAGAAAAAATCCGTACATAATTGACGGTTTTTTTTTTCTTCGTGAAATCAATTATGAAAATCTTGTTCAAATTCCAAATCAGTATTCATCAGCCGAATTGCCGTTACGTCATATTTACCTGATGAGTCACGACACTTATAGCCAGAATTAAAAAAAAAAAAAAAAAATTGCCAAAGGCGTGAATCTTTGTATTTTTCTTAATCCAATTCCCACATTAAGGAAGCTGATGAGCTTCAACAAGGCCACCTGTTCACAGGTCACCTAGTGAGGATCGGACTAAAAGTTGTAGCCAAAATTTTCACTCAAGTATAGGTCAGCGAGATAGGAACATACCCACAATTCAGTAGCTCGTTATCCATTACCCCCATGTCAACGCTACCCTAGACAAAATGAATTTAATTAATTAAAGTTACTTCAAGACAATGCTTTAAGTTCAACGTTAAAATGTCATTTGTAATCAAGGGAGGTTACTCTAACTGAATTGTCACGCAAATCAAGTGAAAGCGTTTTGGACTTTGATCTCAACAGTACGGGTTAAATTGCTTGAGGAATTATATTTGACTTGTCTTGGTCATGAAAATAATAATTTATTATAATATTACTTAGTAGACGCCTCTAGAACACTTCATTTCTAGAAAGCGTTTTATTGCTGTCTTTCATCTGTGAGGTAATCTTTAAAAAAAAAAAAAAGAAAAAAAAAGCTGACTGTAGACTGGAAAAAAAGACGATTTAAAAATGTCTCTTATCTATACGATGAGTCGAGCAGTTTTGTTTTTTCCATTGGTGCTTTTTTATACGAGTTTGGTCCTAATGAAAATTATCTTCGGAATGTTTAAGAAACCTTCAAACTTCCATGGGGCAGGCCAAAAAGCTCAAATGAATCGGGATAAGAAACCTCCACCGAAAAAATGGACAGACCATTCTCTCGGGACACATGGCTTTTTACAGTTAAAAGTAAGTTTTTTTTTTTTTTTTTTTTTGTTTTATTTTAATTGTCGTCGCCTTTTCCCCACATGACCCATGTAGATTTAAAAAAAAAGAAAGTAAAAAAACATAAGGTTTTAAAATTTTTTAATGCATTGTAAAAAATGAAAAATGTTTCTTGAAGTTTAATTTAAATTCCAAACTAATAGATTAAATTTCTAATAAGCAAAATACTTTGTTATATTTCAAATCAAATTTATTTTAATTTGCTTAAAATGTTTTCTAATTATCAGTAAAAAAAAAAAAAAAAATCTATAAATTCGTCCATATTGACAAATCTGTCAACACAACATAATTTTCTTTATTAAAATTAAAACATACTTTTCTGAAAAGTTATTTGAGAAAAAAAATAACCGATTTAAAGTTTTTATAATCTGAATTAAAACAAATATTACTTTTAGTTTTACTTTAAAATATCGCAGGTATTCATTTTAAAAAAAAACATGGTGAGTTCTTTTATATTACGTACGTGCTGACAACGTTGAACATTTAACTAAGGAAGGGATAAATAAATTCCTATAGGGGACACTTTCCTATTTTCCACTTCTACTAGCGAATTGCCGTTTCTCGGTTTCTTAACTGTTTTGTTGGGGTTATGCTACTGGATAGCACTTTTTTTTCAATTAAGAAACTGGAAAGTTTTGCCAGAGGAGTTTTTTCATCTAGGGACCTGAAAACGAAAAATCTTGGAAAATCAATGTTCATTTCCTTTTCAGAATCAGTATCCGAAAGATATCATTTGGTTTTTTGTTTTGATTATTCATAATTTTGGATGTAGTAAAAATAAAATTCACTACTTATGCTCCCTACCAACTTCAGAGCCCAATTTTCAAACGTGTCAAGAGGGGAAACCCAGTCGCCTTGACATGTCAGGGCTACACAAACCAGTATAAATATTCGAGAGAGACTCCGTTCACCCATAAACCATTTGTTGCACTTCCCAAATCTACAAACATCCATGTTTAAGACTAGATCTCTTCGAACCGATTGAACCTCATGCCTCGGTTCTCGAACAACATTGCCGAACCGAATGGAATCATTTCTGAGTCGACCGCCGTGTTGTATACATTCGTGTGTTGTGGCGTGCTTTTCTTTGCCAATTTTATTGTACTGTGACTTTTTTTTTTCTCTACATTCATTCCTATCGGAAAAATAGTTTCGGTTTACGAACGGCCTTCACGAACGAATTAAATTCGTAAACCGAGGTTCCAATGTATTTATTCTGGATAATTTTGAATTGTTTTTTAATAATTTTTTAATTGAAAATTATATAAATTTTGAGATGTGTTAGCTGCTGAAATGTAGCTTTTTTATTTTAAATCTTTTATTTTGCATTGGGATGGGGGGCTATTCTGCATTTTTACCTAGTGAAGGATCACTTTTTTTTTATTAAAGGAAATTGGTTATTTCTTAAAACCAACGAAATACAAAATAAAACAAAAGATAAATTAAAATTGCGTACTTCTTTTCTTTCTTTTTAATTTACTAACTTGGGGGAAAATTATTTAATCCTTTTGAAATGCTTTTTAAAGAACATTTAGAATTTGAAAACAAGAAATAAAAATTAAGTAAAAAAAACGGAAAATTGGACGATTTCAACAATTTATGATAAAGGAAAGAACATTATTATTGATTGAATGAATTGCAACACGATTATTTTTAAAAGTTTTTATTTTTATTATTAATTCTTTTCAGTTAGGTTTAGGAAAAGCTGCACAACTAGGAGTTTAAGTTTAAACGTGTTTTCAAACAATTTGTATACCCACGTTTTATTCAAACAAAAAAGTAACCTAATTTTTGCGCACACATACACATTGATTGGCGGGTAAAAACAGATATCTAACCACAGGCCGACATCGAGCGGCAAGGTCGAGTTTAAAGTGGATTGGTAGCCTGAATCGCTCAAGCCTCCTCAGCACTTCACCACTTCTCTTTTTGAAGATAGGTCAGGCGCCAGGTATTGATCATGGCACCCTCCCTGGGGGGGGGGTAATGTATTTTGGGTATGGCCGTCTGAAGCTCGCATTCATAATATTATTTTAAAAAGCAACGGACAGAATAAAAGTAGTTTTACGCAAATAATCTGTGGGCGCGTATATCTGAACTATTGAGGGATAAGATTAATGAGGAAACACGCGTGATATATTTAACAAAACAAGATAAGGAAGTTATTTATAAATTTACACATTTGAAGTTGTCAGTAGCTTATTTTAAGAAAAATGAATCAAATATTTAAAGTTTGTAGTTTCGATGAATTGTCAAGAAGAGAAAATGTTTATAATCATCAGGCATAAAGTAATATTCCAAAATGTTTAAAACAAATTGAGAGGGTTCGTTTTGCACATAAAAGTGATTTGGTTGTATTCAACATGAATGAAAAGATATACTTTAAGGTACTTAGCTTTGGAGTTGAATAGAGTTCTTTAAAATTTGCCCTGCTCTCATTAGAGGCTGACAAGGTAACAGCGTGTAATTTGACACTGGCGTGGAACTCTGGTTTTCTGCCTCCTTCTGCTTTTTCTCTATCTGCCTTGATTCAACTTTCTCTGCCTATTTATATCAAAAAGCGATTTCCCATCGGCTCATTACTTTTTTCTCAGTTTGTAAGTCACTCCCTTTTCCATTGGTCAAAATAAATTTTCGCATAGACTCGCAAATTTGAAAACAATGGAGAGAAGAGTTATTTTTATTTCATATTCACAATATATGAACTGGCCCTGCCTTTGGGAAGACACCATGAATTCATTCTTTCACTTCCTCCAGCTATGGCTTTATGGTGTTTTTGAAGAAATACTTTAAAATTAAAAAAATATCTATATAAATTAAGATTTGTTAAAATGAACAAATTAGATACAGTTTATAAAGAATCTGTCTATATTTCTGAGATGAGGTATTATGTACACTATTTACATTATTCGGACTATTGTCCTTGTCTTTGTTGCCATATTTATCACAACGGCATTGGTTAGATCCAGTGACAGAACCCAAAGAGTTGGGAGTTTAATACCTGGTTAAGGCAGTGAAGAACCTGGAGAGGTGAATTAAGAGGAGATAACTGATAACTGACATCCATTAGACATGGTACGTGGAACTAGAACAGTCTACTCCAGTGAGTGAAATAAATGGTTCACTTTGATATTCCAACCACCTGAAGAAGGCCGGAGTGTACAACAGCCAAAACATTGTGATAAATATGGCAACAAAGATGAGTACAATAGTCCAAATAATGTAAATAGAGTTTATAGAGAAGTTATGATAAAATATTTGATTAATTAATGCATTTCAGACAAAATAAAAACTTCTCTTTACTGAAAACTATTAAAATACGATTGAGTGGATACCAACTTAAAATAAAATTTAATCAACTTAAAATTTACAAAATGGACTCACTGTCCAGCCTTAGCAGAGTTCATAAATGATTATGCGGCCTTATGGGTGATGAATTATTTTCTCACACTGCAACCCCTTTCCCACATACGAAACCCTGCAAGCCTCTCTCTGCTCTATTGCTATTTCCATAGTAAATGTTCAAACGAATAACATTTCTTAGTTTCACCAATTCAGAACTTCATAGCTAGAACCTACCATGCCACATACACAGGGTTGATTCATCCTCATTCCCTTCATATTTCATTGCTAAGGAAGAAGTTTCGCTTGGACAGCTTCTTTCCCAGAACTATCTCTTTGTGAAACAGACTCCCAAGAGGATGCTTCCTTGACCACTACAATCTTACCCTCTTCAAATCTAAGGCCAACAATTATCTGTCCTATATATCCTCATAATATGCACTTCTTACCTCCTGTTATGACCTCATTCAATAACCCTCTGCCTTGAGTGGCTCTTGGCCATATTATTGGGTGAGCAACAATATAAAAAAGATAAAAATTACATATTTCAGCTTTAAAATATATATATATATATATATATATATATATATATATAAAATATACTTATTAAGTTATTAGAGAATTTATACCCTAACAACACTAAAAGGATGTTTTATAGATTATGCAAAAGCGTTTGATAAAGTACATCACAAAGAAAAGGTGGGTCACCTAGACATATGTGGGAAGGATATTAGAATAATCCAGAACCTACATTGGCAGCAAACTGCCTGCATACAGATAGGAAATGAGTTCAGTAAATATACAAAAATAAAAAGGGGGATGTAAGACAAGGAAGCACCTTCTCACCAGACCTTTTTAACCTATACAGCAAAACCATTCTGAGAGTAGAAGCTCTATCAGGACTCATTATTGCTGGCCACAATCTTGAGGACATGATGTTGATAGCAGACACAGAAAAAAAAACTACAATAACTCCTATAGAATATAGTGAAGGAGAGCAAGAAGAAAGGACTAAACATCAACTGCAGGAAGACAAAAATGCATAGTGGTTAGCAAAAGGATCAGCTGAACATGCAACTTATAAATTGGTGATACTAAAATCAAAGTACAACAATTTAAATATCTGGGAAAAGTTTTAACAGAGGATCGAAAATGTGAAATGGATGCAATTGGGATAGTGAAAGATGCCTTCCAAAAGCCAAGCAGAGTATGAAGACACAGAAAATATTGTTAGAAACAAAAAAAGAGTACTGAACTTTTATATAAAAACAGTGCACACCTATATAGCAATGAATGCTGGACAATCTCCTCACAGATCAAGAAGAGACTTGAAGCAACAGAAATGTGGTTTTACAGAAGGATGCTGAGAATACCATCGCTGAGCATGTGAGCAATGATGAAGTTCTAGAGGCAACAAAAAGGACATTTATGCTCAACATCAGGAAGAGACAGTTGAAATTTCTGGGGTACATAGTGAGGAAAGACGGCTTGGAGAATATGATATTCACAAAACTGAAGGTAGGGCCAGAGGAAAGCAACACACAACCTACCCAGAGAGCTTGAGTCAATGGATGGCAAAGCAGCGTTTGGGAGAGATGACAAAAAGACAAAAGTTCTTAAGA